AAACAGGGACAAGGGGATGGAGCTGTCTAGGATTTGTGACTCACAGAGCAATTGGAAAACCATCCTCGGGTACCACCACGCTCCAAAATAGACGCAAAAGTAGAAAGAGGCCAAGGTGTGTCCTAACCACTGTGCCAAGCAAGATGTGATGTCATAAACGAGAAATACCTGGATATTAAGCTTATCTTTTTTTATGGAGAAAGACATGATACAATGAACAATGACTTTTTACTCAAATAAAAGTAATGGCACAGTAGTAGTAGTAGTAATTGTAATATTAGTAGTAGCAAGTAGCATGATGAAGTGACAATAGAAGTATAGCAGAACAAGTAACTTTTTCCTGAATTAAACGGTGCTTTTCTGGTGGAGGGTCCGTCAAATGCTTTTCTTCATGGAGATTAAACCAGGTCAAGTTACAAGTCAGGTCTATGGAGTAGCTTTCTAAGTATTTTTGAGGTATAAAACCACCTGTAATTGAATAATTGTAAGATAGAGCTGTTTAATGTCATACTATTCTAAGCAGAGCAATGATATAGCCATAGCAACATGCAGGGGGCAGACCTCTAACCAAAAAGTTACATTGTGCATCTTTAAAGGGTTGGTACCTGAATATATTTTTTTCTTGGCAAGATAATCACTCCTTACATCATGTATCATGTGTAAAAAGAAACTAAATAAGATAAAATATTTAAGATGTAAAATATCTTATTAAATTTACATCGCATTTTCTCAGGTAATAATTCAAACAAAAGCTTCTATCAGGGTCACCTTCTTTCGTCCAATCACATTGCTTCTAAGAATCATGGGAAATCACCTGCCTGACTTTATTCCAGACACTCAAGTCTCAGTCACGGTGCATTTTCAACTGCAGAGAACTTTAAGGAAACACCTGCATGGCACTAATCCAGGCAGTTGATTTGGTTTTTGTGTTCCCTTTTACATGATATTTGACTTTTTCACAGTTGTTTTTGTACTTTTGAACTCAAAACTGAGTGAACTCTATCTGTTCTATAGTCTGGATATATGGAGTGAGCTGTATCAATAAATATAACACACATGAATAAACTAAGTCAGTGCACAAATATGCAGCGACTTTGCAAGGGAGAAAATTGTAATACAGAAATGACAACTTGTACATAAATATTGAATAATATAACTGACATGAGCTGAATATTATGTTATACGTCTTTTGGCAGCTATTGTCTTGTAAAGATTTCATACGATGTTTAAATCTTCACTCTCTCTTTTTTTTTTTTTTTTTTACAGTGTCCCAAATGAATCATGAGTTTCCTCCTTTGGTGAGAATACTCCGGAACAGAGCTATAAACAGATGTCTGCGTGCTGCGCCGGCCTGGACCAGTCAGGAAGTTCTGTTTAGTCTTTTCTAACCTGGGCACCATCAAGGGAAGTGTGAAGGATAGTACAGGCACAGTAACAGAAATGGACAGTAAGTACACCAACTGAATACATTACAGCTTTATTTCTTTGTTTATATATATAACTGGATACAAACTGATCAAAGTAGAAGTACTACAGTAGCCTACCGAATGTAGTAGCACTTGGGTATTAGTTGTTGTAGTAGTGGTGGTTAGCAAAAGCAGAAATATAAGCACAATTAAGCCACATGAACAGCAAAAGTATTCTTATTGTAAATGGAGCCGCCTCTCCACAGATCTGACTTGATATTTGGGATTGGTGGTGCCTCACTGTGGAACATCTCAGACAAAGCAATAACATCTCCATGGATACAGCAGGCTAGTGTACCATGTTATAATGCTGTTACCTCCTGGACTTGTGTTTTGTTTCATGCACACGTTTGAATAATCCTTAATTTTATTAATCTCTCTACATCTTTAAAGATCAAAATTATTGTAAATTCTTTTCCACTTTGTGATGTCATGTATTTCTACTTTTCGAGTTAACCACTGTCTTTTAGTTTAGGAGAGATTGACAGTTCTTGGGCTGAAATGATCCACATGATCATAGTGAAGCTGTATGGAGTTCGTATGGCATGTCTGTGTGGAGTTTGCATGTTCCCCCAGTGTCTGAGGGCGTTTCCCCCATCAACCCAAAACATACACCAATCTTCCAGCTAAGGCAGTTCTGACCTAGTCTGATTCATCAGCCGGTGTCACTTCGTAGAAACCATCTGACCTCGGAGCACAGAATTTGTTCGCTCAGTGGTAGGCCGGTATATTTTTTTTATTTAACCAATTGTTGCTATTTAGTTGTGATGTATGTAATGTGCCACTAACAAGGCGAACTCCTATATGACGCTTTTCCCAAATCCTGTAGGAAAAAGGGCAAGAATGTCTTTCCCCTTGATAAAATTCAGTAAATATTCTCTTTGTTCTGGCTTTAAATCCTTGATCTCGGGAATTGTTGCCAGCACAGAATGTATGCCTCTTTGCTGATTGGCTGGTGCCTGAACTCACACTTCTGGGGTTCTTGCAAACCATCTGGTGTATTCCGAATCCTGACCTAGTCACTGGAGAGAAATAAAACTGAGCAGAGGCACTGGGTGGCGCCTGCCTGGCTAGCCCTGACCAAGCCTAGCAGCAAGATCATAGGGATATGTCCCTGGACACCCCATGTGCTGCCCACTGCTCCTGAAAGGATGGGTGAAATGCAGAGGAGAATTTCCCTACAGGGATAATATAAAAAAAAAAAAGTACTACAAAAAATAAAAAATAAATTAGATAAATAAATATGCAGGATTTATGTGTGAATGAAACAAAGCACAACTCCCATGGGCCCTTTACTGTTACCACAACACCAGTTCTAACTCTCTCTCTTGTAGTATTTGCAGTAGAAGAAGTAGTAGCAATACAGTAGTAGCAATTGTAGTAATCATACACAGGTGTACCTTGAAGTCAGGGCGACCTGCTGCCTCCACACGTCATTGTCTCGAAGTTTACCAGCACAGCTCCCGGATACTGCTCTATTCTGATGTGCTATTTTACTGTAATTAGACCCAATCTGGCACCCACACCACAGGGACTGAGACTGGAACATGTCATCAGCACCTCTGCCCTCTCGCCCACCTCTGAACACAAGAGCATGGCCGCATATACATATACTGCAGTAACATCCTCTGTGGGACTAGTGAAATATTAAAGAGCTCATAAAAGTTGGGATAGGCAGTAATCGAATCCAGATTTCCAAATGTCCAAAGTCAGACCTGGCATATTGAACTAGCCGTAAACTATTCCCTGTCATATGCAGCCAAGATGAAGCTTGTACCACAACCACTGAGATTTTCCAGTAAGAGAGAATTTCCCAGTAACAGACCCAAAGCCCTGTTAGATGTCTGTAACTGTGCCATTAAACTGAGGATATGAGGGTTACTAAACTGTCAAAATGCTGTTTCCAGGACAGAGAAAGGTGATATCATATTTAAAGGTGCATTACGTCACTTTTCTACTATCAGCACGTGTTTGGAGGTGTTGTTGCTTTGCATGAAATCCATAGTATAAAGATGAAAAAACAAAAACACTCAACAAGTACAAAATTATTAAAAGCCTTTATTAGCTCATGGCAGATAACGTTAAAATGACGCCAACGTTTTTCATAACTTCAGTTTTGTTTCGCATAGTTGCATAGTGTTTAGAATGTGTTAAATTCAAAGAAAGTTTTTATTGCTCAAAAAGAAGAAAAAAAAAAGAGTGGTTTCATTTCTCCACGCATCTGTCTGCAAATTGGCCTAGTGTCTCAGCTGCTTGTCTCCACACTGAAGATGGAACATTCCAGGCAAAGTAACAGCATCTCCATGGAGACAAGAAGGTGAAGCCTCCACCAGAAAAGTTATGCAGTACACCTTCAGATACTGCAGATTTCACATTGCCAATCAGATAGTTCTCCCTGCAGCGAAAACACTAGTATGAAGTTCAAAATATATCAAAGTAACATTAACCATTCTGTTAGTTTCAGCAGTGGACTGGCTGTATTTGAAATTGTGGTTGGTTTTTATGCAATCATTCTGCTCTCTGAAGGTTTCCTCCCTGGTTTTCTTTGGAAATGACTCGGATATCAACTCTCCAACTCCCCAGTGCTGAAAACCATAATGCAGTGATGTCATTAAGTAGAACAATATGGCCAATGGCAGCAAGGTAAAACCACCAGAGCGGAATGGTTCAAGCAGACACAAATGCTCCCTACACTGGAGACATGGGTGAGGTAAAGCTATGGTACGGCAAGGTTATACAACATGACTGTAAAGAATGTCTGGTTTATAAGTCCCTATGTGTGTATTTACTGTAGAAGGCGGAGAGAGGGGTCAGATTACGTGGTGCATGTCTAGTTTCAGAGCTGAGAGAGGTCAAAAGGATATCCATGGTGCCATAAAGTAACAAGTGAAATGCTCCGTGATGTGGAGGAGTTGTGACAGACTGCCTTCAGGTGCTGGATTCTGGCTTCTCCCAATAACACTCGCATGTTTTTTACAGAGGCTTTATGTTTGAGAATCCATTCTTCATATGGTTCAGTTCAAGACTTCAGTTACACTATTACAATAGTCTTTACAACTTCACTAATTATTTCATTGTGTAGTGCCATTGCATGTATTTTTTAATTAACATTAGATTTAATTTTGTGGAAATCATTGTCAAAATGTTGTTTTCTAAAGTTTACTTTTTATTTTATGCAAAATAAATAAATAGCCTAATAATAAACTAACTAGTAACTAAACTAATAGTAAATGAACTAGGCCACACTTGTTTAAAGGGTAAAATGCTGTTAGTGTTTAACTGGAATAGTTAGAGAAAGTGTGACAAAGTCTCCCGCTGCCTGCAGTAAGTGATTTGGAGCACGTCTCCTCCGAGTGCCTTCCTCCTGCGGGCATTTGCACAGGGCGACGGGAGGGAGGGAGGGAGGGGGCAGCGCTGGTGCCTGCTCGGGTCTGCGCACACACGCGCCCAGGGGGAGGGTCCGGGGGGGCTGGGGAGGGAGAGTCCGACAGGGGTTCAAATACAGCTGTGCTTAGTAACACTTTCGCTCAGGACTGCCCTGTGTCAGCGGGTCCTCCTCTTGTCTCCTTATCTCTTCTAATGGGACTGTAACTCAAGAGGGAGGCTGCTGATGCTACAGAGGAACCTCACATGTTATCTTACATTCTGAACATTTGGCAGAGTTGTTCACAATACTTCCATCAGTTTCATTTAATCATCGCGAGAGTTTATTCACAGTAGCGCTTGACCACCGCTCTCCATCCGCGTACACGCGCTCAAACTGCCATGGAGTACCTCAACTTTTGTCTTGTCTTCTCGTTCTGGTTCAAGTTTGCCTCTTGTGTCTACTCTACTGACTCTCCTCCTGCGCCTGCGCCTATTCCCAAAGGTGAGAATATGTGAATGATCAAAACTTTAGCCCCACAAACTTGAACAAGCATTTATACTCAAGTCTAGGTATTGTAAGTTAGCGTTTTGTACAACATGTTGTCACTGAACAGTGCGCACATGGGGCTGTTACGCACCCGAGGCTCCCCGTTTGTGTGTGTAAAGTGTTTGTTTGGGGCATAAAATTGCATGATAAGGACCGACACCAAATCAGTCTGCGGCTTGTCGCAATATCGTGTTTATTTGATGCGTGCCGCTGGAGCTTTTTATTTGTCTGTGGGCTGGAAAGTGTCGGAGCGTCAAACAAGTTCATTTGAAGGCGCAGCAGAGAATTGCTTCAATTAGCGCACGTTCAAAGACGCTCAAAGGGAACATTTGTGGTGATCAGGTGCTTTATGTTTCACTCATTGTGTCTGGGCTTCACTGACAAGCTGCGCAATTAAAATAATAGGTTATGAGAGCAACACAGAGAAAGTTTCTCTACACTGAATCACTCCTGGACGAATGAAGGAGTACACTGTCTCTATGTGGAGCAACCTGCCAATGTCACAGCTTTTTCTTATATAGGCTATCCATGCTTTACTATGAGAAACCTGCTTTTTACATAGCCAATGGACAATTTGAATAGACTACTTATAGCAATACAAATTCTAATATCATTCTGTAGTTCTATAAAATCCTATAACCTAGACAGTAAGTCTAGTAGTTGCATCCCCATAGTGGTATATTTATTTTAGTCAGGTAATTGTTTATCTCTAAGGCATACTTCTACTTGAGTACTATTACGTACTGAGGCTGCATTAAGTTTACTTGAGTACACATTTTCCCCACCTTTGGTTCCATTGTACAGTAGGCTACACATACCACAGTAACCTCAGTGTACCACAGCTTTATGGACTTGTGTGAGACGCTTAGCCCTGTTAACATGTTGCCATGGCTAAATTGCTCTAAATTACCCTAAAATCATCTCGGTTAAATAGGACTCTGTTTGCAGTCACAGCCTCAGTATAAAACTCCACACGGCACTTTAAGTGGACTCATATGTTTCTGATGTCACAAGTGTCTATAGGTAAAATCTCTAAATCTGAACGTCCCTGAGCTGTAATCTTCTACAAACTTCCTCTTCCCCTCACCTCTGTGCAGTCGACGTTTCACTCATACAAACAACGCATAGAGAATAACACATGACAAACTAAAATATTTGATAAATTTGGACTTTTACGACTAATTGACTGAAACCACTTGTGTTTTAATTCTCCATTTTGGCATTTAATTGTACTAAATTTAAAGCAGACCTATTACACAAAATGGATTTTTAGAGCTTTTAACAATGCTATACTTGTTTCTCCTGACCATTTACTCTCCTGAAGTTGCAGTTTGTGTGATTCTTGCATGTTTGAGTTATCTTTAATCACTTATTTTCAAGAGAGAATATTGCTGTACTGCTTTGTACTTACTTTGTTCTCCAATTTAATTTTTTAAACCAGTGACACGTGTAGGATTTGGCCGCATCACATAGTCATTTTGGTGATCCACAGCTATCCATCGGATGTGCTGACTCTTTGTTGCGATGACTTTGCTCTGGTCGAGCACCACAGTTTTTTAATGGGGAACTGAGCAGACTTATTTCTTTTATCAAGTCATTTTAGAAGAATATTGCGATTTAAAATGTGCAAACAATAACAATGATCCACGGGTGTCACAGATTATAACTATGCATCAGTCACAAACACAACAGCGCTTCTTCAAATCAAACTTGAATAGTTGGGAGTGCAATTTAACAGTAGTGGAAAGAGTACAAAAAAGTAGTACTCAAATAGAAGCAGAGTTACATGGCTAAAATGTACTCAACTGCAATTGCCAAGTACTGCTGCCAGATTTGTTCCCAAGTAAAAGTATAAAGTATGCATGGAAAAGTACTAGTTACGAATACTGAGCATTTGACCTGAATCTTCATACAGAATTTGATTAATTACTGCAATGTGTGTATTCTCTGAGCTCTGGTGATGCAATGTCTTAATGTACGTCTGTAGACAGGAACAGATAGAAAAACATCTGTGCACTAGGCTGAATGGGACTTGTGCTTAACTCAGTAACGCCCATGAGTTTAAAGAGAAGTCCAATTACATGGCTTGAATCATACTCAGTTACAAGTGTACAAGAGTAGCCTGTATTGTTAGTTACTTCTTTCCGCCCCCGCATTTAAGTAGGTGTCAGAAAAGCTCATTTAACTTTCCACACAGTAACACTTGGACCCTGCACAGTCTGCGTTGGTAATTGAATCAAATGTCTCTGATGATGTGTTAATGGGCTGAAAGACGCAGTAATGGTTGCACTAATTTGAGCCAGGAATTATTATTATTCACATTGTTCCAGAGTTGCGAGGAAAAAGTGAAGTGCAATGATGTCAACACTTCACTGACAAGCAAGGGACAATAAGAAATATTCAGACGACCAGATCATTTTGAGCTGTGGGTGGTTGGATAGCAGGTGGTCAGCGATGGTCATACAAGTCCCTGAAAGGAGTTATTTAGAATCTTACAATATGGACATACAGAATACAAATGACTTGAGTTATAATTATGTCATGATATCAAATATTAGTGTTACTAGTGTTAGGATTACTGTGAGAGGAAAGATTACAGTTTAACAGTTTTGGACAGCATGACTAAACAACAGTTAAAATCCGTAATTTTCTTTCATTTTCTTGTCTGATGCATTTCCATTCCCCAAGTATGTGACAAGTTTTACAAAATAAAAGTTTCTTAATGATAATGAATAAAGGGACAGTCTAGAATTTTGGACATAGGGCCTCATTTCCTAGTGAGCCAGAGTGTTGGAGATGTGTGGAGACACTTTTTAAAATATTCCATCCAGTCCTTGTATTTGCAGAGGTCGCTGGTGCTAGGCTAGTGCATGTCAATGGCCATAGTTAGCCTGCCACTAAAAACAGTATTACTCACTCCACAAAGCGCCCGAAGCAAATCTGTTATTACACCAGACTGCCAATGTAAGTGTCTGTGTTGATAGAATAAGTTTAGAAGTAAAACCAACCTTGCATTTGAAGGATTTATGTCTGAGCAGCAGTAGAGGGTTGTGCTTCCTGATAGAAAGTTTGGCAGAGGCGGACTGATATCACCTAGCACCTATCTTACTGGCAAAGTAAATTTCCACTGCTGCTGAGAAAATAGTCCCTCAGCATGCCACGATTCATGCGATGCAAGGTTAGTTTTATTTCAAACATTATTCTAACAACACAGACATTCACATGGACAGTCTGGTGTAATAATAGGTTTGCTTCGGGTGTTTTGTGGAGTGGGTAAGACTGTTTTTAGTGGCAGGTTAACTATGGCCATTGACATACACTAGCCTAGCACCAGCGACCTCTGCAAATACAAGGACTGGATGGAAGATTATAAAAAGTGTCTCCACACGTCTGCAACACTCTGGCTCACTAGGAAATGAGGTCCTATGTCCAAAATTCTGGACTCTCCCTTTAATGTGAAATTTAAAAATCAAAAACAACAACAAAAAAAAAAAAAAAAATATATATATATATTATTTTTAGTTCTTAATTATAATGTTACCTGTATAAATAATAAATAATACAGTACCAAACTTTCTTGAATACCTTACTTGAAACTTTGTCTTCTAATGCTTTTCTTGCTGAATAACAAACTTGATACCAAAATACATTCAGAGCTCCTGAGATGGTGATTGTGCTTCTCTCAAGTAGGTTTATAGTTTATAGAGGAGGAAGGAAACTCCACCTTATGTTGTCCACAACTTTGGCCCTGATAATGGCCTTCTCCATCATCTGTAGGTCTAGTCTAATAAACAAACTAACAAGCTCCATGGCATCAACTATAATCACCACTCAGAACACCAACCAACACCATCATTTTATTAAAATTTTTTTTTTTGGTGAAAATATTTGCATTAATGCCGTGCAGTTAATCAGATTTTAATCAAGATTGTGATTCCGTTCCATTTATTTCCAGTGGTCAGTTATCAGTATCTTGGGTCTTTTTAACTGTTGATAAAACAAAGCCGGATCAAAAATCGGAAAATGTGTCATATCAGATAAGATAAGAGAACCTTTCCTATGTTTCACAATGGGGGAATTCCATTTACTATCACCAAAGTAGCATGATTTCTTACTATTTTCCTTTCTCCTTTTCTTTGCTTTTCTGGAGATTCATAGATCTACAGTCTTAATCTTAAGGTCATATATTACACAAAATGGAAACTTGTGAGGTTAAAGTCAGGTTATAATGCTGTTGCGTGATCAAAAACATACCTGGAGTTATGTTTTGTTTCATCCAAGCGTGCGATGTCATGAAGCAATAGAATCATCGTAATGATAGTGAACTGTTTTCTGTTTGAGAGAAGAACTGAAGAAGGGTTTGTGCGACTGAAACAAAACAGAACAGAACTCCAAGTAAGTTTGTAGTGAGGAAACAAAATAACATAATATGAGCGTCACATAGACTACCGTTATTGTAGTTGTGTCCTTGGGCAAGGAACTTCCTTCATGAATGGTGGAAGAGGTCAATGGCACAGATTGGCAGCCACTCTCTTGACAAATGTAATTACTGTGATTACCTGGCTATAAATAATTTACTACCCCAAAGCTTTGACATTTTGCGTAACACTTCTGTACATAGGGACCCACGCAAAGGAGACACTGGCAAGCTCAGATGTTTTCTTTATTATAAAATGGAACAAGTACATGGGCACACAGCTAATAATTATACCATTATACGGACAGGAATGACATATTGGAAACTTCACATTGTTATATAGTACAGACAATTCCTCCTAGCAACTTTTAATGATGACAAATAATTACATGGCACAGCTGGTAAAAGTCTGGCAGGAAATCCGCAAACTGAATCACAGTGCTCTATTTTTCTTCTTTTATATTCTGTACTTAAAGTGGAATTCGGCATTTTAAGATTGATTGGCATTTAAATGAAAGCTGCAGCATTCACTACACTGACCTCATTGTTTTGGTATACACGTTTATCCCTTTTTGCCTTAATTGTAGTGTGTTTTATTGCAAACTAAATACGGTATTCAGAGTGATGCAAAGCGAGATTCCCGACTTATTTCCGTGCCTAGGGGCTGGTGACATCATGCCACTTCCTTAGGCTACGGTCCTGTGGTTTAACACATGTAATTGAAAGCCCAGACCTTACTTGGATTATGGACTCAGAGTGTTTTATCAATTATAGTAAGTGAATTCTCAGCGATATAATATGTCCCACCTCGGAGGGGATTTCTGGACATACCCTTAATGTGGTCATGACGAGTCTATATGGCGAACATATGGGCCAATACTTACCTTGATACAGTAGAGGAAGTACAAAGTAAAAGTAATAAAAGTCAGTACGTAAGTGTTAGGGATGTAACAATAACCAAAATATCGTGATATCATATCATCAAAGTTCTCACAATAATATCGTGGACCATCACAATATATCTTAGTCTCTTTGTTTAAATGAATAGTTATATCGTACCGTGAGATGTATATCATGAAAATATCGTACAGAGAGATTTGGATATTGTTACATCCCTTGTCGTGAGCTTTCCCACGATATCACAATAAATATTGTACTGTGAGGTTCACATTGTGACGATATCGTATTGTGAGACATGGATATCGGTACACCCCTATTAAGTATACATTTTAGGTATCTGTACTTTGTGGATACTTTTATTTTACTTCACTGCATCTGAGCGCATGTATCTGTACTTTCTACTCCACTACATTTTTTAACAGGACCCAAAAGTAAAAGTATTTTTTATTATTGTATGAGACCTGCTGAAAAGGCTAAGGGGTTTATTTTTAACAGTCTAATCAAACAAAAATATACAAATAAATAAAAAAAAAAGATTGATCCAATTGTTTCTACTGAACAAAATTCAGCACAAATCTGTCTCAAAATCACTACATTTATTAGATCTCAAAATATGCATGAAATACTAGTACATTTTTAAACAACTTTAATCCTTTTTCATGTGATACGTTTACTTGATTATTTCTGTGCTCTGATATCTCAGTAACAAAATTGAGTACTTTCACCATCACTGCCTAGAACAGTAGTATTAACTGATGAAAAAAATGCAGTATTCATGTCTGTGTTTCTGTCTAGCCTTGGACTTTTGGGGTATTTGGGCCCGTTCTTGTAACTGTTGCATCGAAGCCAGAACAGCCTGTGGTCATATTAAAATTCTGATGGATTCTACGGCTGGAAAACCCTCTGTAAATGCATCTATGTTTAGCTGTAGCTGAGAATAAAGAGTGTGAGGGCTGTGTTCTCTTGTGAAAATGACATTGTCTGTAATTGGTTCGCTTCTGGACTGTTTGTGCTATGGTAAAAATTGACTATATAGTGCAGCAGGGTCAATAGTGCACACATCGACTTTAATGTATCACCAATTGTATAGTTAGTTGTGCCAAAGTGGTTAGCTTATATTGGGGTTGGTTGCCTTGGCTGTTAGCAATTAGCAGCTTGCAAACTACGGTTCACATATAGGGACATTTTTAGCAAAGGTCAGTAATTCACATAATCTGCACCAAATATATTGTAAATGTATTATTAGTTATGGAAAATAAACATGAGATAACTGTTAGAATATTATTATTCCCTGAACAAGGAGACAGCTTGATTCAAGTCTGGGCACTGTATGTGACCCACTGCGAGATGTGACGAGTGGTTTGGCGGAGTTGTGTGTATTCCCCCAATTTTGACTTACTTACTATTTATTATTATTTCATTTTTTCATTCTTTTATTAGTAAGAAGGAATGTTTGCATATCTTAAATTACAATTGTGTATATGCTAGTATATAGTGTTGTCACAATATTGAAATTTCAAGTTTGAATAGACTTAATACTAGGGATGTAACAATAACCGAAATATCGTTATATTGTATCGTCAAAGTTCTCACAATAATATCGTGGACCATCACAATATATCGAATTACAAGTCTTTTTGCTTAAATTAAGAGTTATGGTGCAGCAATAGCTAAAAAAGATAGAGGGAACTACATAGACCATGATCCTTTGCTCCATTTCAGTGTAGACTACATGAAGAAATAACAGTTCTAAGCACTTTTAAGTCTTAGTTCTTTGGATTAAGTCTTGTTAAGGTATTTTAAGAGGAAAAAGTAACATATTAACAGTTTTCTTAACCTCCACAAAATATTGCAATAAATAATAAGTAAGATGTATGTCGTGAAAATAGCGTATTGAGAGATTTGGATATTTTTACATCCCTAATCGTGAGCCTCCCCACCATATCGTGAGCTTTCCCATGATATCGCAGTAAATATTGTATCGTGAGGTTCATACCGTGATGATACTGTGTTGTGAGACTTGGATATCCAAGTCCACCCCTACTTGATACTCAAGACCAATTCCAATACCTCAATCATAATTCAGAACACTTTTTCTTTAGATTATAAAATGTGATTCCAGCATTAAATAACAGTACTTTCTTTTATATTACCAGGTGGTTCTTATATGTGTAATCCCTCTTTGGTCCAGGTAGGTTCCATAGTGGTCCATGAGCGTGTACTAGTCTATGTGTTCTTGTACTTATTCTAATACAGATGAAGATGATTCAGATCAAAGCTATTCAGGAAAGATCATTTTTTTGTCTTATCAATGTGACTTTTTAGTATCATTACTTGCTCAAATAAGTATCTAGGTTTCAATATTAGTTTTAGTATCGAAGTATAGTCATTAGAATCTGATTTTCCATACTTTTGACAACCCTACTGGTGTGACATTAGCTGCAGTTTCTCTGGACTTAATCCTTGCAAGACATTACAGAGAGTTCTAGTTCACTACAGGCATAATGAGATTGTAATAACAAAATAACTTAGGCGTATAGCACGTCCAATGGGGCATTTGAGTACATCGAGTTTGGCAGAAATGTGTTTTTTTCACCAGCAAATTTCCAGCCCTATAATTGTGCGGAATTAAGCATCATAGTATTAGTCAGTCAGTCAGGCACACACACATTTGGGAGCATTAACTACAGCTTTTTCCATGGCCTGACAATTTCCAGATATTTTGTTGAGTTATACAGATATTTGTGTAGTTGACTGAAACATAATCATCTCCTGCAAGAAAAGGGTCATCCCAAAGTTTGAAGTTTATTCCTTAGACTCCTCTTAGTCTGATCAACTAGGCAGTGGTGGAAGGTAATGAAGTAAAAGTAGTAAAGTACTGTAATTAAGACAAAAAAAGTAGGTATGTGTACTTTACTTGAGTATTGCGTATGAGTATTTTAAGTGGATACATTTTACTTTTATTTCACTGCATCTGAGAGCAGGTATGTGTGCTTTCTACTCCACTACATTTTTAACAGGACTGAAAAGTAAAAGTATTTTTATGATAGTTTAAGACCTGCTGAAAACTAGAATATACAAATAAAAACAGAAAGGAAAAAAAATATTGATTCAGTTGTTTGTACTGAACAAAATTTAGCACAAATCTTTATTAAATTCACTACATTTCTCAATACATTTGACTCTATACGGATGTTTTTAAACAGGTACTTTAATGCTTTTACTTAAGTTGATTTTTTTCATGTGATTCTTTTACTTTTACTTAAGTCATTTGTACTTAAAGGTGCACTGTGTAACTTTTCAGGTTACCATGGAGATGCTTTTGCTTTGCCTGCAGTGTTCCACAATATGATATTAAAGTTATATTAGATGCATTTATTCAATTATATGTATTTTTAGTACTCAAAAACAAAACAAAACAAAAACATTACAAAACATGCATTCTTCTTACAGTGAGTGGGGCACCTCTTCACAGATCTCACCTGTAAATTGACCTTTTGGAGTCTCCTGCTTGTTTCTATGGAGACTGAAAAGTTTAATGCCATATTCTGGACCCTCTACCAGAAAAGTTACACAGTGCACCTTTAAGTAAGAAAATTGTGTAGTTCTTCCAGCTCTGCAGTTAGGAATTCATGTTAGTGTGAAAGTTTACCTAGAGGGCTGTGGCTGGGGGAGCGAGGGGAGCGGAGGGGGTGAGGGGTGTGTGTGGGGGTGTGTGTGTGTGTGGTGTGTGTGTGTGTGTGGGGGGGGGGACCACCAGTGCGTGTCATTGCCTTTCTTGGAGAGGCTATGCTCCAGTATGATCCACATTCCACTCTTCTTCCTTTGGCTGTTCGTACCGAGCTGAGAAGAGAACACGGAGACTTGATGTTTACTCTAACACCACACGCTCGCTCCAAATCACAGCTGCACAGTCTGTCTCATTCGAAAAAGACAAGGGCTACTTTCACTGTCTGCTCCGACCGGCCACGTAAATGTTTATGCAGACATCTAGCTCCACTTAGGGCTGGGTGATAACATGATACAGATCCAATCATGAGCTTTCTTTATTTGTACTGTCTTAAAAAATGTGAGCAGCAGATCATTTTAAAGTGTTTGAAGTGGTCCAAAGTTTTTCCGCATTTGTCTTATGAATTCAAAGCATCATTAATTATGCACAGTCATGAGTTTATAAGCACGTTTCGCGGTTTTCAGACACC